GCTGCCTTGGCAACGCATTCCCTACATTTATGACAGAAATTCTGACGGTCAGTGTCAGAAGTAACTTTAGCAAGTACCCTGTTTACCCACAACAGTTTAAAGGTGGGGGGAAAAAGGCTCAGTAAAGGGCATTATCTAAAGTCATTCTCCTCATTAAATATTTGTTGAATACATTGGTATAAGGAGTCAGTCCCGACACAAACTCAGGTGCTGACATAGAGCTCAGGACACTGCATTAGGCCTTTGGATAGTTTCCATTTACTATACATTTATCATCATATATGTTAGTATATATAATAATATATTAGTATATGGCGTAATAAACATACAACAATCATCATTATACAGTTATTATTTATCTCCCACTTTTTTCAGAAAAGTGACTAGTGACTTACACAGCATTAGACTAACTCTCATTTTTACCATTTTAGGGAGGGGTTCTTTAAGGCATCAAAGGTCATGAAGCTCAGGGAGAAGGGAGAGAAGATTATACATCTATTGATACTTTAAACATAAAATCCTTCAGTCCTCTGGTCTGCCCACCTGATTCAAGCAGAGGAAGACTGTTCCCAGTAACAGTTATTTCCCTACATATCCCACACTCCCCTGAAGTGTTTACTCTGCCCATAGGGACCCCAGGCAAGGGGACCAGAGTCCTTTCCTCAGTGCCTTCACCCTAAACCTTTTAAAATTCTCCCTTTTTTCTAACCATCTCAACAGAAGCCAGACTGCCTGCTGAGTCAACACAGAGTCACCACAGGTTGCAACAGAACTTTTACAAACCACTTCCTCTTCAGAAACAATCATAGAATTCTGAAATATCAGAGACAGAAGGGTTCTTGCAGAATAATTCACATGCATCTCCGACCTCTCACAAAATGAAGGCACAGAGAGAAGAGTGGTCTGAGGCCACCTTCTTTCTCAAATAAGTGTTCTTCCTTACCAACTATATTTTAATCAGTCTACACACTGTGGTGAAGCCATTGGATAAAAAAGCCCCTCTCTCATATATCACTGAAATGAACTCCAGGACATGGTTCTAGATAAGTAACAGGATCCCTGACCATGAATGCTAGGACAATATATTCTAAGGCTCTGGCTCTTCCATGTCATCTGGACAATCTTTTTATCAGAAGATCATGGATTTGTCTCACCTTTCCAACCTGAACAACAGACTTCCAGCACTCTGGCTTTACACTCTCACTCCCATATGCATCCAGATAAATCTTCCTAACCCCGGATGTGACCTCATCATTCCCCGGCATAAATGTTTTTCATAAGAATTCAGAAATAGTCAAAATATTCCATTCCTGGATCTCATCGACTTTGTTTCCCCCTGCCCCTTCCCACCTCTCTCCTCAAATCCAATCCAAGTCAGCACATTCCATGGGCTCTTCACTCAAAAATAGATCCAGATTTGACCACTTCTAACTACCTCTTAGCTGTACCGTAATCTAAATCACCATCGTTGCTCACCTGGATTTCTAAAACAGCCTCTTAAATAGTCTCCTTGTATCCTCGCCCATTTATGATCTATTCTGAACACAAATGGCATATTTGAAATCTGTGAAATGACTGTCATATCTATGCCCAAGATTACTGAGTGGTTACCCCTTTCAAGGTGAATAAAACCCAAAGTCTACATTGACTTCCAAGGTTCTGCATGATCTAGTATCCCATTGACCTCATTCCTTCTACTCTCACTTTTTATATCTCACAAGGCTTCAGCTCCCCTAAATTTCTAGGTAGCCTTCAAACACTCTTAAAGCACACTCCACTGAAACAGAGCATTACACTCCTACCTCAGGGCCTTTGCACTTGTTTTTTCCAGCTACCTTGAATATTTCCCACCCCAACTATATGTAAGGCACATTCCATTTCCTTCAGATCTCTGTTCAAATGTCACCTTTATCAGGGAGTTCTTCCCTTATTAATGCCCAATCTTCAACGTCATTCTTTTTTCCCTTATGCTATTCTCTATTTTCTGTACACTTAACACTACCTTAAGTATTAACGTTTAACACTATAACAAAATATATTTATTGGCCTGTTTATTATTTACCATCTCCTCAAATTGGAATATAACCTCCAACAAGAGCAGGAACTCTATTTGTTCAGAATAGTGTTTGATACATACTAAGTTCTCAATAAAAATTTATTGAATGAATAAATTATTTCCTGCATAAACCCTACTAGTTAATGGTAGATATAGGACTCAAATTAGATACCAAAACCCATTCTTCTAATTTTTACATTATACTGCCACCCTACAATCTTTTCTCCCTTTTTTGAACTATTTCTGTAAGTGGTTCTTTGCAGTTTGACTCATGATTCTTTCTGACTGTTTTGTATAGGCCTATTTGCCCTTTCCAAAGAGAATATAAACTCCATGAGACCAGAATCTGGACCACTTAAACCAGATGACATATTTTATCTGTTATTTTTAAGCAAACTAAGTTAAACTTTTGCTGTCACAGAAAATGTTGAACTGCTATAATAATGAAGTAATAATATATAGTGAAAAAAGTATTAGGAAAAAAGATATCTAAAGTTTAGTCTCAGTTCTGTCTTTAAACATGTATACAGTCCTTAAGCAAATCACTTAGTTTCTCTGGCCTTTTATCTACTCATCTGTAAAGGAAGTTGGCCAAGATGAAGTCTAAAAAGTCACTTCAAATTCTAATAATACTATTTTCCATGAACACTTATAATGTGTCAATTTAAAAGTAAAAGGCCAAACTCTTCCTTAACATGGTTCTATTCTGACTAACAAGAGTCCTTTCTCTCGTAAGAGCACTATTTCCTTTTTGGATTATTTCACCTAACATAGGACTGGCTGAGCATGCAATATCTTTAAAAATTCTTGGTTGAGTGACCAGTGTAAAAATGGAAGGAAGACACTTTGTTACAGAGTTATAGAGTTTTGCACTGAAGTAAATTTAGAGATTATCTAACAGTGATTCCCAAATTGATATTCCATGGAAAACTTTCTTGTGATATTAATACCATGCCGAAAAGTGTTTGGGGTACAAATTTAGAAAACCCTACGTTAAAGAAATCCTATGTTAAGTATTAGGTTGTCAGAAAATTCATGACATGTTTTTTTCTGTTTTTCAAGCAAAAATGCCTCACGAATTTTCTGACAACCCAATATCTTTACTATAGAACTTGATTAACTAATATATAGTATTAGTCTTGATTAAACTAATATACAGTAGGAATCTCACAGAGACAATTTATTATGTAGTGTTTCCAGATACATTTGTTTCAGTCCCTGCTAATATCTCTAGTAATTAGTGGTTCCTGGAACATTCTCTGGAAAACATTGATCTAGTCTGCTCTCATTTTACAAATGGAGAGCGAGACCCTCTAAAGCCTGTTCAGGTGCTGATAGCAGGGGAACTAGAAGGAAGGGCCTCAGGATTCTGGAGCAATATCCAGTGGTTAAACTCTGGCCTGTGTTTTCTGTCTTTCATCATGCCCCCTAATTATTTCAAACCAGGGAACAAATTCAGACAGAAGCATCTCCTTCGCAGATCTTTAAAGGTTTTCTGATCCCTAAGGAACCTAGGAATTGGGCCCAAGTGTTAGCTGGACCTCAAGCATAAAGCCCCAGGGCTGGAGCTAAAGAAAACCTCAACAGAATAACAAACTGAGTTTCAGTGGCAAAATGACCCCAAATTGAGCAATGGCAATGTACTCACATTTGTGCAGTTTCTTTACAACAAATAAAAGAATGCATTTACATCATCTTATTTGATTCTCATATCAAACTAATGAGAAAGATAAGAGTGGAATTGTTATTCCCATTTTATGGAAGAGGAAACTGACTCTCAGAGAGTTAAATACCTTGCCTCTGACATTTTGGCAGAGTTGGAATGAGAACCTAAATTTCCTGTCTCTCTCGTTAGGGCTCTTCTTAATGGATCACACAAAGTGAGCAAATTTGGACTAAGTAAGTTGAACTAGGTAATTTTTGCCTGAGTTAAACTCTTCCATGAAATATCCAAGCTGCTCCTATTGGCTTACTTAAAAAAGAAGCAACACCCCAATTATTGGACTTCAAGATCCTCTTTGGGTTCATTATAGTAATACATCCTATAAGCTATGTTGCTAAGAGAGCGGAATCTTAGGGAGTTCCCACTAGGGAGGCAGCATGGCCTAGTATTATAAGCAAGAAGTCCGACACATTTGGGTTTGATTCCCGCTCTACAACTTAGGTTTTCTTAGCTCCATTTTACACAAGAAGAAATGAAGCACAGAAAAGTTACCTTATAAACCTACTCATTATGTAACCCTTCTTTGCTTCATTTCTTCCTCTATAAAATGGAGCTAAGAAAACATTTTGAAAGCTGTTGAGAGGCTCATGTAAGGAATGAGAGGGTTATAGCACAGCGTCATTGTAGCTCCAGAATTATACTACCCAGGTATGAATCTCAGTCCTGTTTCTTGCTACCTGTATGACTTCAGATAAGCACATAATACCTCAGAATTTCAGTTTTCTCATATGTAAAATAAGGAAAATAAATAGTGCATTCTTGTCTGTTGTGAACATCAAATGAGATAATATTTGCTAAGTACTTGAATACAGTGTCTGGCACATAGCTCAATAGAAGGTAATAAGGATACCAGCGGGGTCAGTAGTGAAAATTTCAATGTGTTTTCCTCACAAAGCAAGAATGAGAAAGAAAGCCTCTCAGTCTTATTCTCTTCCATTTACCCTCTCTGCATCTAAGAACACAAAACTTTAAGTCAGGACACTTGGCTTTGAATGCCAGTTCTGTCCTATAGTAGTTATGAGATTTTAAGGAAATCATCTAACTTCCTTGGGATATTTTACCTTACCTGACTCATTAAGTTAATGATGCTTTGCTTATTCTAGTGGGTTATTGTAAACATAAATGAATCAGTGAATTTTAAAATATTTTGTGAACTATGATACACTATATAAACACAAGGGATAGCTTATTTGCCACAGACTATAAGACAGATGTTTTTACCAGTAGAAAGCAACTTTATCTCCAAGTTTTTTCTCGTGGACATTTCGATCCAGTATATTGTAGCAGATGTTGGTAGTTGCTCCTTTCATCCACTCTATGAAGATTTTCCCTTTAGTCACATCAAAGTTGTACTGGAGGAATGGACCAGAGCATGGGGTCTTCCAGTAAAATTCCTTGGCAATTTCTCCCCAAAACTCTGCAACAGAAAGGGGCGTTAAGACAGCATTAAGCTTCTCAGATATTTTTATCCTCATATGGTTTATTAGGACCAAGGCACGACTTCCTAGCCCTGTACTCTTGTGCCCATCACCACTTTGGTCCTTCCTCTTTATCTCTTATCACCCACCACTCTGTATTTCCATGGGCTGGATCTTGACTCAAATTTCTTCCTTCATTCCTCAAAACTACTAATCCTACTAATTTTGTACCATCTATTCAAATCACAACCACTGAGTGCCTATCATAATGCCTAGCATGTTGTAGACAATCCGTAAATAATTTATTTTATTTATTTAAAAGATTTATTTTTATTTATTTATGCATATAAGAACTGGGGTGTAGACCATAGGTTGGGGGGGGAGTAAGAGGATTCACCAGAGACAGAGTGGGGAGCAGAACAGGCAGATTGACTGAAATACACTGCTGAGGGGAGCAGCAGGCAAGACATGTGGGTTAGCTCCCTGACTGGGGATGGAACTTAAGCCACAGTGGCTGGCTATAGCTTGATAGCACTGAGACTTTTAGCCCCTGCGCTACCAGGGAGACCCTCAGTAAATTTTTTAATGAATTAGTAAAAGAAAGAAATCCTTTACCCACAGACCCTTATAGAAAATCTCTTTCTCTTGATTTTTTTTCATTCACTTTCAACAATTATTTAGTTGAGTATCTTCTTTCTCCTACTACTATATGCTATGCGCCTAAAGTGGCTTTAAGCTGTTATACATATTGTCTCATTTAGTCCTAACCACGATCCTAGAAGGTAAGCATCATTTTCATTCTCATTTTATTGATTTGAAAATAAGAACTCAGAGAGGCAAAATAACTTGCCCAAATTACACATTTACTAAGTCAAGATTTGAACTTCTCCGAGGAAGACATTTTTGCTAACATCTGAAAGATGTATAGAATTTTTTTTCTCTACTCCTCCACCAGGAAGGAGAGTATAGGGGATGGGAAGGAATATATTAAGAACTCACTGCAGTGAAAGCACTGAAAATAAGAGAAAGAAAAGCAGTAATTAATATAGGAATTGATGCATAAACTGAGCAGATCATGCAATCTTGGACATGATAAGAACGTTGGTATGTATCCTAGAACAATGAAAAGCCACTGTAGGATTGTAAGCAGGAGAGGGACACGAACAGATTTTGTCTTGAAGAATCTGCCTGCACTGAACAGGTAAAATAAGCAATTGCAGAGCATTTAGGATAGTCTCGATAATTCTCAGGAGTTAGAGGGGAGAGATACACTCAGAAATAGAGGTAAAGAGACTTGCTCAAGGTTACATAATTTAGAGTTTATATAATTGATTTGGAAAGATAAGACTAACACATGATACGTTTTTTAATGTACAAAATAGAACGTAATTGAAAGTTAAATCACATGATCTACAACTTGCCATTATATAGTAACGGCATTGTAAGAAATCCTACTGAATAGCAAGGCAGGGGCCTCCCTGGTGGCGCATGGGGTTAAGCATCACACTATGAAGAAATCCGCAGCCTCTGCAGCACGAGTTCAATCCCCGGCCTGCCAGGGAGAAACCACATGGCACAGCAGACCTCTTCTGTCTTACCCACTGCTCCCCTCAGCAGTGTATTTCAGTCAGTCTGCCTGTTCTGTTCCCCACTCTGTCTCTGGTGAATCCTTTCACCTCCTACATCTCTGGCCTGTACCCCAGCTGTTGTATGCATAAATAAATTTTAAAAAAGAAAAAAAGAAAAGAAACAGAACCATCTTTATAAAAAAAAAAATAGCAAGGCAAGGCTTGACAAGATGCATAAAATTTTTATAATACCCTTTCATCTGCTAATTCAAGTTTGGGAGTCCAGAAGAAAATAATCCCAAAGGGAAAAAAGTGAGATATTTATGGTAATGATATTTATAATAATAAAACTGGAAACAGCCCAAAAGTCTAAAAAAATGAATACTAGTAATACTGGTATTACTAGTAGAATACAATAGAATTCTCAATGGCCATTGAGTACTTGCTTTGGCAGCAAGTATTAGAACAATACAGAGGCTAGAATGAGCTCTGCACAAGGATGATATGCAAATTTGCAAAGCACTCCATAAAAAAAACCCTAAATAGCCATTACAGAGAGAGCAAATGGAAACTGGTATTTTAGTGAATGCTACTAATATACCAGGGACTGGGCTAATCTCATTAACCCTTATGATAATGTGGCCCTATTAAGTATATTTTAATTATCTTAATTTTATAGGTGAGCAAAATGAAGCTCAGGAAGTATAGGCTACTCTCTCAAGGACTATGCAGCTAGTAACAAGAATATAAAAACAAATTTGACTCTATAAAATCCATGCTGTTTCCACTACACTGAGTATGTGTGTATGATCAAAAATACTTTTTTTTAGCTTTTTTGAAAAATTTTTTTATATAATTCTTATATCATTTTTCATTTTTTGCACAATGTATGCATTCTCATTTTGGTTATATTCCCCATACAATTGCACCCCTCCCCGCCCCTCCCCCTCCAGTGTGTCTCTGGTTTATAGTTGCTTGTTGATTTTGATTTTTACTTTGTATTAATTAGTCTTTTTCCTGGTCCCTTATTTAGGTTTTCTAAATTCCTGCTATGAGTGAGACCATCTGGTATTTTTCTTTTTCTTTCTGACTTATTTCGCTGAGCGTGATCCCTTCTAGCTCCATCCATGTTGCTGCAAACTGCATGTGTTTATCTTTTTTGATTGCTGAGTAATATTCCATTGTGTATATGTACCACATCTTCTTGATCCAGTCATCTATGTTTGGGCATTTGGGTTGTTTCCATAGCTTAGCTATTGTAAATAGTTCTGCTATAAACATAGGGGTGCAGGTGCCCTTTGGAATTACTGCTTCTGTGTCATTTGGGTAAATACCTAGGAGTGGAATTGCTGGAATCAAAAATACTTTTAAGTTATAATAGTAGACATATGTTAAGTAAAACTGCTTGTGAACCACCTTTATGTCCATCAAGAAGAAGTGAAGAAAACTGAATGCTGTGATCACTTAGTTTGGGGAGTTTTTTTGGTGCTTTTCTTTTGGGGGGGTAGAGATACTGAAATCTGGTTGTTTCTAAGTATTCTAAATACTGAAAAAGTTCACAAGAGAAAAATGGTGAGCACGGACTAGAATAATCAGGAAATGTTCTGAGGAATTGGTGGGGTTTGACTGGATAGAGGAGTTAAAGGATATCAGCAAAGTGCAGGAGGTGGAAACGGGACTTTTGTTTATACAAACATACATAAGAATGACCTGTGTAGAATGAGAGGTGTGGTAGAGACTAACAGGAGATAAGGACAGAGAGGTAGGGTGAGGCTAGATTATTTAGAGAACTTAAAAGCTTGGCAGGATGTAGGAAATGGGGAACTATTAAAAGTTTTCGAAGTGACATATGAAAGTGGCATTTCCCTAAATATTAGTCTTTGTTTCAATAAATCTAGAGAAAGAAAGTGGGTGAAACTAGGGGAGAAAGAACAATTATGAGGTTGTTTGCTTGAGTTAAAGGGGTCTGTAGAAGAGAAAGGAAAAGGTATATGAGAGATTTTTGAGGAACATTTGGGGGTGAGGGAAGAGGAATAGTAAAGCTAATAGGAGCTTATGCTCTGCAGACAAGACTACCTTGGCTCAAATCCCAATGCACCAGTAAGTTTTATGACTTTAGGCAAATTAGTTAACCTCTCTAAGCTTCAGTCTCCTCATCTACAAAATGGGGACAATAACACCATATCAAACAGGATTTGTGCTTAGTAAATAGTACTCAATCGATAAATAAATAAGTTACATAAAATAAATAAAACCTCCTAGTTCCTAGGGAAACCTTGCATAGACCCCTCCTCCTCCTGTGGTCCCTTTTCCATCTCCCCAAAGAACATCAATTTATTCTCTCACAAAATCTCCATGTACTCACAGACCCCTCAACTTCCCAAGGGAACCCCTACTCCCCTAGAAAACCCCATCTCTTTACAGAACCCCACACTGAACACCACCAATTCCTCACCTTATTACATCTATCTATAGATGATAGATTTAATTAGAAAAGAAGATGAACGAAAGATTTACAGTTTGGTATAGTGCCATTGACTTACTGGAAAATTAGGGAGAAAAGCAAGTTTGGAAGGGAAAATTGGTATATCTCAATCAGAGTCATTTTGAATATAACAAAGTATGTGTATAAAGTGGTCTACAGATCTGTAAACTTGGGGTCAGAGGCTAAGTGAGATCCTAGATACAGGGCTAAATACTTAGGCGTTATTGTGGCAATAATAGCTCCCCCCTGGAAACAGAGGAACTCATGATGGGACAAAACGAGAAGGAAAGAGAAGTGAAAAGAGGTTTGAGGACTCAGACTTGGCCACTGCCTACAGCAACCAACCACACTACACTTGATTCAATCCTGTCTTGCATTACTCAGTAATTGCTTCATTCACATTGTCCTTACTGTTAGCAAACTAACCCTCATTTTTTAAATGCCTACTGCATAACAGGTACTCTATAGTGCCTTTACTCATTACCCACTCTAGTCCTCATATAATTTTATGAGACAAATATCATTATCCCTATCTTACAGGTGAAGAAAAGGAATCTCAGACAGATGTAAAAATCTGCCTAAGTCTGCACAATAAATGAGGGGTAGTGCCAGAATCTAAATCTAGATTTCTCTGGGTTTGATTGATGGCCCGTGCTTGTCCCACTGATAAACATCATGCAGTCTCCCAGCCCAGTTTGATCCCTTACCCAGACTGAAGGCAAGGGCGGGACATTTTCCTCATATATATTCATTCCCGAAATTTCTAAGTTTTACAATCCCAGCCCAATTTTTAAAAAATTCGCATTTTAGTGACTCGTTTCATTTTATATTGGGTAACTGGGGATTTCCAGCACTCTTGCACTAACTTGCAGGACCCTAGATTAGGAACCGGACAAGTCATTGCTCAACTGGGGAACCTAATTTACAGGTGAAAGGTGTCTGGAGGAAGAGACGGTATGAAAGCGGCCAAGAAAGTTCTCCTCGTGGTGCTCCTCCCTCCTCCCTCAAGCCGCCCCCTAGCTCCTTACAATCCCTCCTTTCACCTTAGGAACCCTTCTCCTCTTCCCGTGAAACTTTCGCTGTCCGCACCGAACCCCATCTCCTCATGAAACCCCCAAGTTTCCAGGGAACTTCCTATCTCCTAGGAAACACTCATCGCACGGACCACTCCTTCTCCTTTAGAACCCCCAACTCCTCCTGCCACCTTCTCCCACTCCCCATCGAGCCGCAGTTCTTCCCTCACAGAATCCCCATCTCCTAACAGACCCCTTAACTCCCCAAGGGACCCCCCACTCCCCTAGAGGACCCCGATCTCTTCACGGAACCTCGGTTTCCACACAGAATGCCCCAGTTCCTCACGCCCCTGGAGACCGTACTTCTTTCCTCGCTGACACCCCCCCAGGCCCGCCCGGGCCCGGCCTCACCCCGCGGCTCCTCCACAGAGCGCCGGTGCAGCTCCCGGTAGCGCTGCAGCGTGGAGACGTGCGCGAGACGACTGATCTCGGGCGGTGGAGACCAACTCCGCGCCGGGTTCCGGGCTGTAGCCTCCACTCGGGCCCCACTGGCGCCGCCGCTCCGGCCACGCTCCTCAGGAAGCCCCATCCTGTCAAGTTCCGAGCAGCGAAGCCGCCCAGGCGGGGTGTAAAAAACAGGCCGGTCGAGGGGCGGGGCCTTCGGGGAGGAGTCTGTAGGGTGGGGGCGGAGCTTATGCCGACTTGGGTAAACGTGAGAGGCGGAGCCACGCCCGATGGGGGCGGGGCCAAGGTTTTCAAAGGCGCAGATAGGGCCTGGTCGACATTGCCGGGGGTTAGGGGCGGGGCTTATTTGCGGAAGGGGTGGGGCCGTGTAGTAAAAGCAGAAGGGGCGGTGCCGGGCGTGACGGACACGGGGCAGGGCTGTGCAAAGACCTGGGTGGGACCTCGGAGCGACAAGTGAGGAGCCGGGGTTAGGGCGGGGCGCAAGCGGGAAAGAGTGAGTGAGAACGAGAGGAATTGGGCTAGACCCATGTTGGAGTCGCTCCTTGGTCTGACTGTACAAGCCTCTTACCCACCGACTTGGAAAGCCAGTGGAGTCGGGTTCTTTCCGGGTGACATCCTTTCCCCCTGGGAACTGTCCCCCAAGTCTGAATAATCCTCTCCCCTTCGTCCTCAGGAAAAACTTGCCCCGGATGTTTAAGAAGCTCCTGGGGACAGGACTGCCCTCTCAGCTAACTCTAGGGTCCTCTCTAGATTTTCTCCCAACGCTAAAGTTATGTCTTCATACTTCCTGTCTCTAGAAGTTTCCATCCATATCTGCAGTGCAAGACTCATTAAGTAAAGACTAGGAGGTGCCTACGGGTCTTTATTAATAAAATCACTTTTTCATTGCACGAATGGTAAACTCGGGGAAGGGGAGGAACTTGTGCAAGATCACAGAGCAAACAACCAACAAGATAGGGCCAAGTGGAGGTCCTCATACTCCTGGTCTTTTGCTGCCTCATCAGATTCAATAAGGGATTGTAAAATACCGAAGTCAATGCAAATAGGAGCAATCAATCATATCTTTCCTTTCCAGTCTCCTTACTTCACCAAGAGACCCCGCTCACCTCCACACGTGGACTCAATCACCTCCAGCTTCTCTTTATCCCCTTCAATTCAGAAAGAAGCCAGGCAGCACCCTCCATCTCCCAACTTGCACACACCACAAGGCAGAATGGCTGTCAAGGTAGGAAGGATCCTTAAATATTTAACTCCAAGAATAATTCTGAGCTCTGATAGGGTCAGCCTCCTTCCTACATAGGACTTGTGATCTCATGTAGGCCAGCCTCCCTTCCCACCTGCTCCCTTTTCTTTGCTGAGCTAACCACAAACCCACCACACCCTAACGGAAAACAAATTTCCTCATAGTCAGACTGGTGATGGATGATTCAGGGCATACCCAGTCGTGAGGGGAAGATCTCAGGGCTCCCTGAAGGGGTACAAGCCTCCTAAGTGGACATGGACCCACTGAGGAAACATACTTCAGCAAGCAGGCATTAACTACACTGAAGGGGCACGTACTTCCCGCAAGGTATATGGCTTCCACTCCTTAAGCACAGATGTTGCTGAGGGATCTCAGAACTCACTGAAGGGCTGTGGAACCTGCTAATAGAACATGAATGGCATTGAAAGTCACCGACCCTACAGAGGGGACATGGACTTCTTCCTAGAAGATACAGACTTTACCCTTTACCCAAGGGACATGGACTACTAAGAGGACTTAAACTCCACTGAGGGGGAATGGACACCACTGAGGGGACACAGACAACATTTAGTGGCGTCAGACCCTACTGGGAATTAGATTTCACTGAAGCCTAATGAATATACAGACCTTACTAAGGAGAATCTCTCATTGGGAAGGAAGGCATATGCCATAGAAACATTCTTAAATATAGATGTTCATCTTTCCTTCCCCTCCCCCCAGCTCTGGCAGCCCTCTCAGATGAGGATCTGGGTTAGGACGGCACCCAGCCGGAAACAGTGTAAGATGTGTGAACCAGAAGTATTGGATTAGGCCCACGGTGGAATTGTTTGTTGGTCTGATTGCACATCCCTCTCCCCAGACTTTTCCCAAACCCTAGAACTGTACCCAATACACTGCTGCCCCCTCCTGCCTACAGGTGACAGTACAACTGCTGGGTCACCCAGTGGATTTTCACTAGGTCCAGGTCATCTCTGAGCCTGGGGGTGGGGAAAAAGGAAATGTGTTCCCAGGGGCTTGACCATGCACCTCCCTCTGCCTGTGGACTGTGCAATGGAAGTGTGGACAAGAAGCCTCGTAAGAGGATTCCCCCATCCTTGGAATTGGAATAGCATGTAGTGTGATTGGATGTAGTATGTAGTGAGAAGAGGTTGAATGAGAATTCACGGGATTATGGAAATAACTACTAATTATCATCATCATCATCATCATCATCATCATCATCATCATCATCATCATGGCATTTATTGAGCAGGTGCCAAGTCCCACACTAAGCACTTTCCACATGTTATTTAATCCTCACAACAACTCTCTGAGGTGGATATTACTTACTCCATTTTACAGATAAGGAAATTTATACTCCAGGAGATTAAGTCTTGCCCAAGATCACAGACACTAGACGACATAGACCCACTCCCCGCCCTTTTATTCCCCCACCCCACCCCACCCCACTCCCGTCCATACCACCACCACTATTTTTTTCTCTAAGTGGTCTTTCCAGATCATATAAAAAACTCTTAAACTGATGGTAAATATTCAAGTTCCAGATATCCCGTTCCAGTCTACTGCATCATGATCTCTAGAGTGGAATCTGGAGACCTTTTTTTTTTTTTTTTTAAAGATTCTAACACAAACTCGTTTGGACTCACTGTCCTGTGCTCAAAGGTCCCAGAAAGGGTTGTGATCGAAAAGAGTCTGAGAAGTTTGGGAAGCCCAGGGAGGGATCTGAAACCCAAGGAAAGATTTCCAAGGAGGGGTCTCCAAGTGAAGAAGCAGTCTGAAGATGAACACAGGTTTAACAGTGCTGGGAGAGGGTTGCTGGTGAAGGTGGAATCCGAACTCGAAAGACGGGTCTGAGATCGGAGAAAGATCTTAGAATCCAGGTAGGGCTCTGGGGCCCGAGGTTCGGGATCGGGGACAGGATCTGAAGTCAGGCAGAGATCTGCGGTTAGTGGAAGGGTGGGAGGAGAAGGTTAGCTCGAGATGTAAGGGGGAAGGTGTTTGGTCTCAGGGCTGCAAAAGGTGACCGAAGCCACTAGGTCGCGCTTGCAGCGCGCTCTTCCCCCAGACCTTCTCCCACCCGCGCCACTGCGCGCCCCGGGCCTGCTCTCCGGGCTCTCCATCCTCTCGCGGACGGACCCGCGAGCCCACCGCGGGCTGCCATCGTCGAGCAAGCAGCGGGGCGAGCCAACACCACACACCGGCCAAGGCGGGGGTGCGGCGCCCCTTCCCCGCGGTCCAGGAGCTCAGGCCCCGCCCTCCCCCCGCCCCCGCCGCACCATTTCCGGCAGGCGCTGCGCTGCTGGGGGGCGCGGGCGAGGATGGCGGCGGAGAACGAGGCCAGCCAGGAGAGCGCCCTGGGCGCCTACTCGCCGGTGGACTACATGAGCATCACCAGCTTCCCGCGGCTGCCGGAGGACGAGCCGGCGCCCGCGGCCCCGCTCAGAGGCCGCAAGGACGAGGACGCCTTCTTGGGAGACCCGGACACCGGTGAGGCCCGCGGTCCCTATCCCTGCCCCCTGGGATGTCCCCGGCTTCCTCCGTCTCCCTAATTCATCCCCTTCCTCCAGCGCCTCTCCCTTCTCCCTCGCCCCCGTTAATTCGGTGGTAAAGTTAGGGTGCATCTCCGCCTCGGAGGCTTGGGGTGCGACAAGCGAGAATGAAGCCAGGGACTGCAGTAGGAGGGCTTGAGATTACCACTTGGGAAAAACCAATTTATAAAGAAGAAATGTTGGAGGGGAGCCTACGGAACAGCTATGCTGACTCAGAAGAGGCCTTTCTGAAGTCATGGAGAATAGGATAGGAGAAGCCAAGTCAGAGACTGCAGCAGGATGGATAGAGGCTAGATCTTGAGAAGAACTTGCCCCCAGTCAGGGATTGTGAGAAGGAGACTGTGGGTGGGAGGAACAGAATCTCTTCGTGTCCAGCGAGGGGTGCAGAGAATATGATGTCTGGAAGTGCTGGGTTTTAGGAAACAGGGGGATGGACTGCATGACCTCTCAAAGTCCTTGGGGACTAGACACTCCTTTGCTGCCCTATGAATTACCTCACCCCTACCAGAGCCATGGATTGGGCCAGGATGTTAGTTAGGTACCCTGCCCCCTAGCAAGCAGGCTCCAGAATGTTACTGTGTTCTCCCCAGCCTTCTGCAGGGACTGCAAGGGGTGGGTGCAGTAAAGAAGTGGGCAGGGGTTGCAGTAATGCCCGGGGCCAAGAGCTCTCTAAGCATTTCTTCCCTAGTGTTCTCTCCCAATCCATGTGGCCGAGAGCTAGCCTCCCCTCCATTCCTCATCCTCCATCCCGCATCCCTTTCCCTCAACGTCACTTCCTGGCATTAGAGCATCCTTCTGTTTCACTCTTCCTCTACCCTACCAGCCTGGCGGAACCTGCTTCTTTGGTTCACCCCTTTCTAGCCTGGCCTTCTGTAGCTATTCTCAGCCTGAAAGCCCCAAATTCTCTCCCTTTCTACAATCTTCTGGTCATTTGGCCCTGACAACACCCCTGACAACTTGACTATACTGTACCCCCTAAAGGTGGCGGGCAGTGAAGGTTTATGGGCATTAAATGTCAGGGTTGCAGATCAAAACTTATTTTCTAGAGCAAGTGGGCCTGGAATCAGGAGGTCAAGGGAGAAGAGTGGGAAAATGTATCCTGGTGGAGGATGCTAGTCTGAAACCAGGTCTCTTTATTTAGGGGTCAGGAATGCTGCTTCTGGTCCCAGCACTGTCCCAACTCACTGTGACACTGGGTGCACCTACCCTGATCTGTGCCTTAGTTTTCTCTTTTGGCTCAATTGAGAATACCTATCTCTCCCAACCTAGAGATTGGGAACCCCTGATATATTTTCTTCTGCCCTTCCCGCCACAAATGTCTTAGCATTTATCAAAACCTGTGATATTTATTTGTGCAATCATATGATTACTCCATG